GACAATGTTTTATCAGTTTATGCAAATCTCAAAATTAAATTACTACGTAGAAAGAGAAAAATTGCAAGTAGCATGAAAAATTAGAAGGCCTGTAAGATGGTTATTTTAAGCTCTGTCCTGAGACTCCTCTCTAAGGCTCTGTTCTGCATGCTTGTGTATATATACACACAATAGAATGGGTAAAAAGGTGTAAAGTTACAAACCATGATCATGTAATCTACTAGATGTAAGATAGACAAATACATTTATCATATGCCAATACAAACCAAGGTTAAAATTTGTCTTGCAACTTACGCCTGTCCAGTTACCTTGAAAGCAAATCTAAATATGAGTAAATATTACACAAATAAAAGGTTAAGTTTTTAGGTTTCCTTTTGATATTTTGCCCTACTATTTCTGCTGCATTCAAACTTTTCTCATGACGCGTACCGATGCACACTTCAGCCTTGCCCAAGGCATACCACAAATACACTTTCAACAGTTTTTAACCCCATCTTTTTCACAACAATCTCAGTTATACTCAAAACAACTCTATTATGATGTTTCAAGAATTGAATTGTAATTATGAAAATCTTATAGGATTTTTATCTTTTTTTTTCCATCTTTTCACACCATGAATACCTTTGATTATGTACCTTAACATTGTCTTTGAAGATTTTTAAAGAAAAGTAAATTACTAATTTTATTTATTTTGTTTTGTGTTTACATTTACGAGATATATATAGAATAGTTATTTTTATTCTAGGTAGATTCTAATTATAGGATATAACTTTACTATTAGAACTCTAATTAATAAAATATCCTATTTGGTATAGTATTCTACTTAGCATAAAATCCTAATCAATACTCTCTCTCTAACAATATCACACATGCTCAACTTACAAATCAGGTTCTGAAAAGATTTACTGCATAATTCTTTAGTGAAAATATCAGTCACCTGAGTGTCAGAAGATACATGATATAAGCATAGAGAGCCACCAACCACCTTCTCTTTTATGAAGTGTCGATCAATTTCAATATGTTTTAAATCCTACCATATTGAACTAAATTATGAGTAATGTTAATTTCTGCTTTATTGTCACAAAATAGGAATAATCTCTCCTCTTTAAGTAGTTTTTATTCCCTCATTAACTTTTGCAACCATAATAATTCACATATTTCTTGAAACATTACTCTATATTCTGCCTCAGCACTAGAGCGGGCAACCACACTTTACTTCTTACTTTTTCATATGACCAAGTTGCCTCCCACAAGTGTGCAGTAACCTATAATTGATCTTCTATCATCTAAGAACCCAACCCAATCGGCATCTGTAAATACTTCTATTTTGAGGTGACCATAATTAGAAAAGAACAGATATTTTCCTAGTGCAGACTTCAGATATCGTAATATGCGGAAGACAATATGTAAATAAGTCTCATGAGGATCATGCATGTACTGGCTCACTAGACTACTGCATATGTTATATCAGGTCTGATATGTGAGAGATAAATGAGTCGTCCAACTAGTCTCTAATATCTTTCCAAATCAACTGACGTACCACTACCTGTTTGTAATTTGTGGCTGCTCTCAATAGGTGATTCTGTCGGTTTGCAACCCATTGTATCAATCTCTTCTAATAAGTTTAGGATATACTTTTTTTGAGAAATAAAAATCCTTTTATTGGTCATGTCAACTTCAATTCCCAAAAAATATTGTAATTTTCCTAAATCTTTTATTTCAAACTCTTAAACAAGAAGTTCCTTCAATCGAGCCATCTCTTCTGTGTCATCTCCAGTTATCACAATATCATCCACATAAATAATGAAAAAAGTGACCTCACCCTCACGATATTTGATAAATAGTGTATGATTAACATTACTTTGTTGATATCCAAAAGAGATTATAATTCTTTTAAACCGTTCAAACCGTGCTCCTGGAGATTACTTCAATCCGTATAAGGCCTTTCTTTAATTGACAAAACTTTTCTTGCTTCTTCTCATCTTCAAATCCAGGTTTAATTTCCATGTACGCCTCTTCCTTTAAGTTTCCATAGAGGAATGCATTTTTTACATCAAACTGCTGTAGATCCCAATCAAGGTTAGCCGCACAAAACAAAAATATATTAATTGTGTTCATATTCGCAACAGGTACAAAAGTCTCCTGATAGTCAATTCCATAACTCTGAGTAAATTCTTTAGCCACCAATTTAGATTTGTACATTTCGATTGATCTGTCTACTTTGTGTCTTACGGTAAATATCCATTTGCAACCAACTATCTTCTTTACTTGTGGAGGTAAACAAGCTTCCATGTTTCATTTATTGTCAATGCTCTCATTTATTCAATCATGATTTCACAGGGAATGAAGATAGTTGGTTGCAAATGGATATTCATCGTAACTTCCACTTGGGATCTCCTAGAGCTTCTCTCTAATTCTGTGAAATAGACACAAACGAAACATATAAGATAAAAACTCTATAGGCGAGAGATAGAGAGTCATAGGAAACAAATTTAGATATAGGATGCTTAGTGCAAGTTCTCATTTCCTTTCTAATAATAATAGGTTTATCTGATAAATCACAAGATAAAGATAACTCACCAGTATCTTCTGAAACTAGAGAAAATTCTTGATCTGAAACAGACTGCATGATGACTTTTTCAAAGTTCCCTCTATTTGAATACCTTTTCAAGTCTGCTTTATCCAAACGTTCAATATTATCGTCTTGAGTAAGACCTTCTGCAAAAAAATTCTCTACCTGAATATGACTCTCAATTGTTACCTAGTTAGGTATCACTTCTTCCTTCTCACTCTCCCCCCTGAAGAGGTGTTGGGTTTGATTTAAAATAAAACTCGTTTTTCCTAAAGGTAACATCCATAGTTACAAATTATTTTCTAGATGGTGGATGATAACACTTGTATTATTTTTGGGTAGAAGAATATTCAATAAATACACACTTAAGAGTTTTACGTATAGAGCTTACCCACATTTCTACCATGAACAAAGTACACACATCTAAACATTTTTGGGGGAACAATGT